TGTGCGCAGCACCTTGCTCCCCCCGACACCCGGCTGCACCGTGGGTCTCTTCTGTGGGAAATGATGTACAGACCACTGCAGCAAGCCCAGAAGCTCGCACTCCACATCCCCAAACACCGTCTCCTCCTCTGAACTACCTGTGTGATCTCTCTCTGCCATCCCTTCATTTTTAATATATATGCTTGTGTTTTGGGTTTGTTTTTTTTTTTGGTACCAGGGATCAAACTTGGGACTTTGCGCTTTTGAGGCAGGCAGTGGAACCACTAAGCTAAATCCCCAGCCCGCTTGTGTTTTATAATTCAAGAAAAAAATTTTTTTTCAGTACTGAGGATTGAACCCAGGGCCTTTGCACTGAGCCACATCCCCAGCCTCTTTTTATTTTTCATTCTGAGATAGGATCTTACTAAATTGCCCAAACAGGACTCAAAATTGGGATCCTCCAATTTTGAGGATCAACCTCCCAGAGTCCTGGGATTACAGGTGTGCACCACTCTGCCCGAATTAAAATGTTTTAAGCTATTAATTCTATGTCTGCAATCATATGATATAAGTATTTTCTTTTTCCTTTTAATTTCTAGTGTTTTGCTGCTTGGGAATTTTTAGTGTTTATTTCAGTCCCCCACCCTCACCCTCAGCTTCACTGCAGGCTGCTTGTGCTGGGCTTCAAGCTCTGGCCCACAGGGGAGGTGGAGGCCAAGCTCAGTCCCTCCCTCTGCTTCCTTTCGTAGTTACTGTTGTCTTCCAGGGGACGTCAGTGCCTCTGGGGGGGGCTTTGGGAATATTTTCTTAGCTCTGGAACAGTGCCTGCCTTGAGGTCTGGCCCACTGAGTTTCTGCCCTGCTCTGGTCCGGTTTGTCTCTGAGGACTGGGTGGATCCAAGGTGGCTGTGAGGCCTGGGCGAGCACCGGGGGTCTGGGGCCAGCCTGGGCTACAGAACCAGCCCCTGCCTCAGACGATGACGATGATCAGTACAGCGTTCCCGCAGACCACCTCTGCCTCTGCTAGTCCCTGGTTCGGAGTGACACCTGGCACCACGGCAGTGACAGCTGCTGGGCGGACAGCCAGAAAGAGCCACGAAGGAGCAGAAGAGTGACTCTTAAGTGCCTATCCATCAGCCACCCTCCCTCTTCCTTTCCCGTCTTCCGGCCTCGCCCATGAGTGGAGACGCTGGTCTCTACCTCTGCTTCCGGCCAAGGAGACAGTCCCCACCGTTCAGTCTGCTCCATCTCCTCACTGGTTCTGCGAGAAAGAACCCAGTTTGGGTCAGAAATCAGTGAGGGAGGGTCCAGAGCTGCAGTAATGGTCTTGTTTATCTCAGAGCTGTGGTGAGAAAGAATGGACCCTCATCAATGTTCATTCCAACAATGCTGCGCCATGCAGGGGCCTGCTCTGTCCATGCCCTCGCAGGCTTCAGCCTGCATGGCTTTGAGTCCCTTTGAGGCGAGAAAACTCTAAACACCTTCCCCAGGAAAATGCACCTTTGTGTACAATCAGGGAGCTCAGAGAACCCTGCTCCTATTCTGTTTACCTACTTGAGACAGGGTCTCACCATGTGCCCACACTGGTCTCCAGCTGGAGATGTGAGCCTCCTGCCTCAGATTCCAAGCAAGCTAGGACACAGGTGCACTCCACTGCCCTGCATAAACTGCCTTTTCAGACTCCTGAGTCAAATGGACGGCACAGGGACTTCCCAGAGTGAGTCTCTCCCTCAAGGGCCAGAGCCCAAACCCCCACAGGACAGAGCTGGGCTCCCTGCCGGGCAGGAGAGGTGGGGCCATGGACAGGGAGGGGCTCCCCATGACAGCCGAGTTGCAGCCCACAGCAGGATCACAAGTAAATGTTCTCACCCTGGTCTGAAGTAGCCCCTTGAAGGAAAGGCTGGCTGTGGGTCTGAGGCCAGCTAAGGGGAAAGAAGTGCAGAGTGTGGGGAGCTCCCCTGGCCTGTGGACTCCTCCTCCCCCAGCCGTGGGCCTGTGTCCACACTCACTCCCAGCGTCCAGAACGTCCTTGCCTGTCCTGCACGTCCTGCAGGCTGCACAGTCTCCCTCCCCTCACCTGGGGTGCAGCCTCTCCACCCACACAGGTTCTCACAGCCCAAATCCTGGGGCTCCAGCCCGCTCCACTCTGCTGGTCAGAGACAGGCCAGGACTCTGGATGTCTCTTTCCACCAAGCTCAGAAGCGAGGCAGAGGCCCTGGGAGGAGAGGAGTCCTGAGAGTGCTAACTGCTAAGGCAGGAGCGAGGTGGGAAAGTGCACCTGTCACCGCCCCCCCCCCAGAAACAGTGGGTGCTATAGGTCCCAACCCGCCATCATGGATTTCCCAGCACATTGTGCAGGGGCTGGACCCTGGTCCTCTGTCTCTCCAGCTCAGCACCCAGTGCTGGCTGGGTACTTACTAAGCACTCCCGCTCCACGGTGCTACCCACTGGGTCAGAGAGAGGAGGAGGGTCCAGAGTCCAGCCCACAGGGGACTTTCTGGCTCTTCGTGACAAGCCGTGCCTATCCTTGGCCTCTCCCGATCACTCACTTAAGCCGTTTCCTGCACAAGGGTTACTGGGGAGAGTTGTGCACATGTTTAAGGCTCTTGATTCACAACCTTCCCACAGTGCAAAAATGAGTCACCTTCCCGGAAAGCTAGCCCAAGCTGGGTATTATTATCAGGCATAATTTAAATTTTTCTTTTGCACTCTTGGGCAGGGGGGTGCACTGGGAAATGAACCCAGGGCCTTCCCATTGAGCTACATTTCTAGCCCTTTTAAAAAAAAAAAAAAAAGATAGACTCTCCCTAATTTCCCCAAGTAGGACTAGAACTTGGGATCCTTCTGCCTCAGCCTCCCAGAGTGCTGGGATTATTATAGACAGCTAAGTTAAATGGAAATTAATATACAGTCAGAGAGGGACTGGGCTCTCACGGAGGTCAGCTAAAAGAATAAAGACATCAGAATTGTGGCTGGAGGTGCATCTGAAGAAGACCAGGCCTCAAGATGAAGATGGAGTGACCAGGCCCACACACCTTCCTAAGGCATAAGCAGTAACTTGGAATTATACTGTAATTAGCACCACCTGGTCCAGGAAGTCCAGATAGGCATCAGTCACTCAGGTGGGTGACCAGAGCATCCAGACCTATCCCTTCCCAAAAATGCCTTTGTTCTTTCCATGACCCCCTGCTACATGTCCTGCTTCCCTACTGGATTAATATTAGCTAAGCACCTATACTTGTAATCCTGAGTTGATTATAGCTTGACCCACATTGTGACTTTGCTGTATTAATTCACCTGACAAAGGGCCTTGGTGGCAACCCACACAGGACCCCTCCTGTCTCTCCTGTTCCCCAATAAACCTTTCCTACTCTTAGCCTTCTTTGTTCTTCGGAGTTCATTCTTCGATTTCTGGGGACAGGAACTTGGTATATCTGACATCTAGCATACTGGGCATTAAATTCCTCCTGTATGTGCAACCAAGCCCAGCTGTCTTTGTGCTTTTAATAGAATAAAAATGCTAGCTTGTTTTATTTGTATCTCTTTGGGGACTAATCAGATTTAGAGTGGACTACTTTTGCAGAGATGCTCTAAGGAGTCCAGAGAAAGCCTGTGGGAACAAGAAACCAGCAAAACCACCGCACTGGCTGGGCTCTATGGGCTTGCTGGAGTAGGCAGCTCAGCCCCTTCCCTGTGTTTGTCTGTACTACCTGGTAGGGAGCAAATCTTACAACACAGATGAAATTCCGTAAGTGTAGCTTTTGGGCCTGCACATCAGTCAGCCATGGAAAAGTGGAGGTGTGGAGAACCCAAAGGGGCATTTCCAAGAACCGGCCTTGGCCCCGCGAGTTTGCAGGGAGCAGGCAGGAGGGTGAAGCCCATGGGTTCGCTGAGACGCACTGGAAGGTGAGGGCTGGGGTTAGGGGCAGGTGACAGGCCTGGAACCCAGGACCTGAAAGGGGCTGTTGACAACTGGCTGCCAGGGTCAGAGAACGGGGTGAGGAAAGGGGTGCGCAGTAGCACCACCCTGGGAAGGTGGCCTTGTGGTCGGAGGGCGGCAGCCTGGGGACCTGGACATCCCTCTCCTGCACCTCAGCCAGCTCTGAGGCCCCGAGGCTCCGGGGACTGATTTACAGATGTTTACCGCCGTGTTATTTACCAGTCTAGTTCTCATTTGCTCAAGGTTAGGTTTATAGTCCTAATTAGAATCATCAGCATTTTCCTGATAATAAATGTACAGGATGCATTTTATAGTTTTTCCAACTTTGTGGGAGCTCATTTTCTTGACTGCTTTAAATTTCCTATTAAAATCTTAAATTTAACAATCAGCTAATAGTTAAGCAATCTATGAGGTTTTCTTTTTAAAAATGGTTTTGTCACTTTATTTCTTTTAAAAGATCTCAAGCCAAATAGGAACCAGTAGTTCTTAGAGTGATCCCAAAACCTGTCACACCTCAAAATCACCTGAAGATTTAAAAATAAAAAATTCCATATTCTCTGCTTCACCCTTGAGAAACTAAATTTTATAGGTCTGGGGCTTGGTTTTTGTTTTTTGCAGTTCTGGGGATCAAACCCTGGGCCTCATGCTTCACCCTGGGCCCTATTTTGTTTTTTGAAACAGGGTCTTGCTGTGTAGCCCAGGCTGGCCTCTATCCTCCTGCCTTAACCTCCTGAGTCCTTGGGTACATTTTATTTTGAAAAGAAATTTGAAAATGGCAATTTTAAGTCCTAAAGTTCGCAGTAAAGCTTGCAATTCCTGTTCTCGTGTCCCTCCCAGCTCTGTGGTCTTCACTCTGAGCGGCCTAGGAGCTCACACCCAGTGCTCTGCTGCTCCTCTCACCCCTGTGGCAGGGCAGAAACTCCAGAAAACTCCCAGGCCATAGTATTGTATTTTTTGTTGTCGTTGTTATTTATTTTTGCTGTACTGTACTGTGGATAGAACCCAGGGCTTTCACCCTAGGCCACATCTCCAGACCTTTTTTATTTTCTACTTTGAGACAAGGTCTCACTATGTTGCTAACTTGCACAGGCGAGGCTCAAACCTGTGATCCTTCCGCCTCAGCCACCCAGTGTGCTGGGATGACAGGTGTGCACCATTATCCGGGGCTCGTGGACACAGCAAAGCTCGTGGACGCAGTAAAGTCCGAGAATTGGCACCTGGGTGCTTCTGATTCTCGAGTCTGCATCTCCTGGAATTCCGATGCAGAGCTCTCTAGGTCCCCGGCACTTCAGGTGCTAAGCATAAGCTCCTAGGCGTCGCACCTACCACCTCAAATATTTCTCAGATATTAAGATCCTACCATGTGGTCCTCTGAGCTTCGTCTCTGGTGTCGGCTTCTTCCATTTACTCCAACCAGGAGCACATTCGCTCATTCAGCCAGACATGGCAGCATTTCAGGACTTGGGGGGGGGGGGTGAGACAGGGTCTTGTTATGTAGTCCAATCTCTCTTGAACTCACTATGTAGTCCAGAATGGCCTGAACTTGCGATTCCCCTCCCTCAGCCTCCCGAGTTTCGAGATTACAGTTGTGTGGCACCACGCCTGACTGCAGTGTGATCTTTTAAAATCCAGACCTGCCTTGCTGGTCAACCAGGACCGCGTGTTCCTTCACGAGCCCGGAGCCCGACAGCCTCTCCTGCATCCTCACGCCGGGCTCTGGCCACGCCCCCTGCCAGGGGCTCACCCGCGCCCCTCCTCGGCAGCTGCGCCTCGCCGGGCCTCTCCGGGCCTCGCCGGGCCCCGGGAGGGGAAGGGGCTCCACCTGCGCGCCACCTGCTGGGCCGCCCGACCTCCCGCAGACCCGGCCAGACCTCGGCGAAGCTCACGCCTCCGGGCTGCACATCCGCGCCGGCCGCAAGCTCCAGGACGCGGCGGCGAGCCTGAGCCGCTGCGCATGCGCGCAGGTGCGCGTGCACGCAACAGCCCGCACGCACCGGCACGCACGCGCCCGGCCAGTGAGACTAGGAAGGACAGGTTTGGGTTTGGGGTTTTTTGTTTGTTTGTTTGTTTGTTTTGGGGGGCCTTCGCGCTGAGCTGCATCCTCGGCCCTTTTTATTTGCCGACAGAATCTGGATGAGTCAGTAAGTTGTCCTGGCGGGGCTTCTCCTTCCTCAGGCTCCCTCGTGCTGAACTCTGGGCGCGCGCCCAGCTGAGGACGTGGCCCGAGGGAGGGAGGTCAGCGGGAGCTTCACAACGTTTGGCCCTGGTTGTGCGCCCTGCAGGGTGTGCCGTGAAGCTGTTGGTGGTTCTGAGGTGAGATTAGAGCACGCCTCAGGTCAGCTCTGGGGAGGCCGAGCCAGGAGTCTCACTGGACCCCAGAAGTTACAGACCGCCCTGCGCAACATACCGAGATCCTGTGTCACAATCCCTGTGATGTTTTCCATTGGAAGTATAAATGCAAAGGAAGATTGTCCTTTTGCCAGTGCCGAGGTTGCAGCCAGAGCCTGCAGCCATCCGGGCAGGCGCTGTCCCCGAGCTAGCAGGGGACAGGTCCGAGGGCGATGTGGGGACTTGGTCCCGGCCCTCTGGCCCGCGTGGCTCCGGGCTCTGTCTGGCGCAGGGAAGTGTCCGACTCGGGGCGTGGCCGGAGGCGCCCCCAGAGCCCGCGCGAGTCCCACTCTCCAGGTTAGCGCGCCCTTGGCCCTGCGAGGTTCTTTGTCCAAGCAGACGCAGCTCGGGGGAAACCGAGTCACCGATCCCACGGTCTTCCCAGCCATGCAGTGGGTGCAGTGCAGGCCAGAGCTGGCTGGAACCGTCACAAGGAGAGGAGCAGATGCTTTTCTAGTGATTTAAATCAGCTCTAGAAGTTTTATACTGACAGCAAGCCCATTATTACACAATATGTTGACTTTTTCTCAACAGTACAAAAAATCGCCACAGTTCTGTAAACCAAGGTTTAATCAAAAGCAAATCACAGTTTGAATTCTAAGTGAGTACTAATTCTGATAAACAGGACTGTGAAGTATAAAAGCATATAATGGGCATGAGAGAGCACAGAGGCAGCTCACTGTCCTAGCACGTGGCCAGCGTGGGGCTCTGAGTTCCATCCCTGGCCCTGAAGGGGAGAAATAAAACTTATTTTAGGTGCTGGGGCCATAGCTCAGTGGTGACTCACATAGTTATACGTGCAAGGCCCTGAGTTCAATCCCCAGCACTTCCCCAAAAAATTTTACAGGAAAGGGAGGATTTGACATTTTGTGTAACTAAAGTCCGTACTTAAAATCTCCTCTAAAGGGCGCCTGCTGTTAGCCAGCACTAATGAAGTCTGAACTTGCCTTCCTCCAGAGCCATGTGGAGTTGTTTGTTATTTAAAATAAATACTACACATCACTCAGGATAATTGATGTGACACTTAAAGAAAACAAAATAAAGAAGCTGACTGGGTCCGAGGGCTTCGAAGCCAGAACTGTGCTGCTTGGTGGAGGTCGCAAGGTCCGGATCTCCACTCAGAGCTTCGGAGGGGAGCCCGGGCTCGTGGCGGGAGCCCACTGTAACCAGACTCCTAAGACTGATGTGCAGGCCAGCTGGGAACTTTTGGTTTATAGTAAGATATACAACGCCAAGAAAATCAGATGGTCACAGTCTCCCTTGCGGGAATGGGCATGAGTCTGGGCAAAATTGGAATTTAAACTGGGAGAATAGGAGTCAGACACCAGGCATTCTGAGCCAGGACCTCTGAGGTTGTGAAAACTTTTGTCACTGTGCTGTGTGGAAGCTGTGTTACAACAGCACGAATAGAATGATGTCTGCATTATTACAGGGCAATCATAAGCCTGGGGAAGCGTGTACTGTACTGTGTAATAATGAAGACAGCAGTTATCCGCACTTTGAAAGCAAGTTTTGCAAAATAGTTACGCACTTCCTTTGAGGTAAGAAAATGAAGGATACATTAAATGTCCAACATTAGAGTGCTGCTAAATAATTATGAAAGTCTTTGGAATGCTGTACTGTCCTCAGAAATCATGTTCTAGAGCAGTTTTTCTGTGTTTGTTTTGTTTTCTCTTATCTTGCTTTGCTTTTTGGTGGTCCAGGGCCTTCCCACTGAGGTACATCCCCGGCCTTGTTTTATTTTGAGACAGGGACTCACTAAATCAGCTCATTGCCTAGGCTGGGCTAGAATTTATGATTCTGTCTCAGCCTCCCAGAGAGCTGGGATTACAGGTGTGTACCACCACACCCACCTGTGGTTGTTGTTGTTTAGTTTGTTTGTTTTGGTACCAGGGGTGGAACTCAGGACCTTGTGTTTGCCAGGCAGGTATCGGGCACCACTGAGCTAAATCCCCAGCCCTTTGTTTTTGCAGTACTAGGGATTGGACCCACCGCCTCTGCACTGGGCTACATCCCTAGCCATTTTTAAAAATTTTTATTTAAGACAGTGTCTTGCTAAATTGCTCAGGCTGGGCTCCAACTTGTGATCCTCTGGCCTCCCTCAACTGGAGAGGGCTGGGACTACAGGCGTGTGCCACTATACCCAGTTCAGAAGACGAAGATTTTATGACATATAAAGATGATATGACTTTTAAATCTAAGTACCAGTAAATAAAATGTTATTGGAATACTGCCATGTGCATTTATTTACATTTATTTACATGTGGCCTGTGGTTGTTTTTATGCCACCAAGCTCAGGACAAGCACTTGCAATACAAAGTACAAATACTTCCTGCACAGATTAACACTGTCATCACATACTGTATACTGTATATGTATTGAAAAAACACACTGTAGGGCCGGGGATTTAGCTCAGTGGTTTCGCTGCCTGCTGCTCAAGCGCAAGGACCAAGTTCGATCCCTGGTACCAAAAAAAAACCCCACCACACTGTACCCTAAGTATAGGGTTTTTATTTTGTTTAGTTTGGTTCTGGTTTAGATTTTTTAAGACAAGGACTCAATATCTAATTCAAGCTGGCCTCAAACTCGTGGGGATCCTCCTGCCTCAGCCTCTTGAGTGCCAGGATTACAGTTATGAGGCACCACACCCAGATCAATATGTCTCATTTTCATGTGGTAATCAAAAATTGCCCAGGGGCCTGGATGTAGCTCAGCGGTGCCTCACCTACCCTACCTGGCAAACTCAAGGTCCTGCGTTTGATCCCAGGTACTTTAAAAATCGGGGCTGGGGATTTAGCCCAGTGGCTTCGCTGCCTGCTGCGCAAGGCCAAGGGCCCGAGTTTGATCCCCGGTACCAAAAAATAATAATAATAAATAAATCAAAAACTGTCTAAACCAGGCATGGTGGCACACGCCTGTAAGCCTAGCGTTTGGGAGGAAGGCAGGAGGGTCACAAGTTCTAGGCCAGCCCAGACTACGTAGTGAGCCCCTGTCTGAGGAAGAAAATGCTGGTGGGGTGGTGCTTGACCCTCGTAGTTTCACTCCCCAGTAACATTTCAGTTCAGTTTGCCATACTGGGGGGGAATGCAGGGCCTTTGCACTGACCTATATACATCCTCAGCCCTTTTTTTGTTTTTTGAAACAGGGTCTCACTAAGTTACCCAGCTGGGTTTGAACTTGTGACCCTCCTGCTTCAGTCTCTCAAAGCACTGGTACTACAAGTGTGCACCACTATCCTAGGCTCATTTTTTATTTTTGAGACACGCTCTTTTGAAGTTACTAAGTTACCTAGAATGGGCTTGAATCTGCATTCTCCTGCCTCAGCCTCCCAGAGTGCTGGGATTCCAGGCCTATGCCACCACACCCACATTACTTTCTGTTTTTCAGTCCTTTCTGGCCTCTTACTTGAGGTTCGGGTTCCCCTTCTGTGGCACAGCCTGTCCTGTGTGGACCCAGTATGGCCGCTGAGGCTGCAGGGAGCTGTTGCGGGGCATTTGTCCTTTCCCCAAGGTCGCTCCCTTGAATGGTAAGTTAAAACCGGAAATGGCTTCGAAGGAACTTGCTAGGAAAGGCGTCTTTCCCCCTCTCTTCCGTCTTTATGGCAGAGGTCTGAATCGGGTTCCTGCATGCAGCCAGGTGCCCTGGAAGCGGCCTCTTTGGTTTGGCTTTGTTTTCATGAAGCCCAGTGTTGCCTCTGTTATGAGGTCAGGAGCTGATCCTGCCCCTCTGTTAGATCCACGCAGACAAGTGGCCAAGACACCGGCCCCATGTGTGAGAGCAGCTCACCTGGAGCGGCTCCCACACTGCAAAGCTCAGTCCGGGTGGCCACAGTCCTCGGGGCGGGAAGCAACTCCTGAACAGGAAGATACTCAGGCCAACAGGAGTGAGTAAAGATGAAGTAGAGTCAGAGCACCCTTTTGGGGATAGAGTAGGGGAACAGAGCCAGTTCCCACCAGGACTAGGGAATGGGGCCACAGGGAGACCTGAGTCAGGCAGGTCACGGCAGCGAGTCCCCACCCCAGTCAGCCAAAGCGCGCTAGGGTGTGTGCCCTGAGGGGAAGTGGGCACAAGGAGCAGCTGTGCTGGGAACGGCACCTGTTCTCTTTCTAGAATCATGAATTGCATCTTTTTTCTTTTTCTTTTGGTACTAGGGATCGAACTCACGTCCTTGCGCTTGCATAGCAGGTGGCAAAACCACTGAGCTAAATCCCTGGTCCATGAATTGCATTTTGAACCTGTAGAGGAAAAGAGCCACAGTCAGACTCTGAGGGCCATCTGGGAGCAGTGGAGCATAACTGTAATTCCTGCACTTGGGGAGGCTGAGGCAGGAGGATCACAATAAAAACTAAAAAGGTCTGTAGGTGTAGCTAGGCCAAGGCCCTGGGATCAATCCCCACTATCACCAAAAGTTAATTTTTTAAAAAGTACCAGGGTAGTTTTCATGAGTCCAGGAGACAGAAGGCCCTTCTGGCTTCTGAGAGAGGTGCACATGGATTTCCAGCAGTACTGTGAGGACCGGCGGGGAACAGCAACTCACCGTGCAGCGCCCTCTCTCACTGCTAGGCCTGTGGTCTGAACCCAGTTGGCAGGGCCGGGTCCCACCGATGTGTGGTGCTAAGGACAAACCCAGGAGCTCAGGTTTTGCAGAGCCTCCCCAAGCCCCCCCGGAATCTGGGGTACCCAGCTTTCTCACTGTGTGTGTTTCTCCCCCGCTTTCAGTGACAGTTCCGTGAGATGAGGGGCTCACACCATGCAGTGTCCTCTGCAATGGCCTTTTCCTTTCTTACGAGGCAGGCACCGGAACCACTGAGCTAAATCCCTGGCCCCCTACCTTTTCCTTTCTTTTGCTTTATTTGTAAATTTGTATTCATGCAGGTTTGCTGTACGAACTGATGACCTCCACGGTGGGGAGCTGGCACGAAGACTTAACTGTCTCCTTTCTCTTTTGTCTCTCCCTCCCTTCAGTGATGAGTTCTAATAAGCCACATCCTGTAGGACATCAGCACACCTTTGGGGGCAACACAGGACTGAGATGTAGCCTGCACAGGTGAGAGACACTTAGAGCCTCCTCTCTGACTCCTGAGAACGGCCGGACCCCCGGGCTCTGGGACCTAGGCCCGAAGCCCTGCCCCTGCTGCAGCCATCTCCAAGTACACAAAAGAGGCTGAAAGGAGAGCCAGGGGTCCCACCAGCCCCGGAGTTCCTTTGTGTGGAGCCAGCCTGAACCAGGTGCTGCCGCTCAGGGTGACCAGGGGCCTGTGTAGGGGTGAAGGGATGACGGGGTGTAGGTATGAAGACAGGGGAGACAGCAGGAAGTGGGGCCTCCAGGGCCTAACTATCTGGGAAGGCCAGGGCCTTTGGAGCAGTGGCCTCCTGGGGGGACAGATGGGGAATAGACCCTGGGAAACACTGGGGGATCCTCTGGGGCACTTGCAATGCATGACTCTACAGGAGAGCTACTGGGTCAGGGTTTTGATGTTAAAGCTCAGCTAAACTCAGTTATGCCCCTGTGGGACCTGAAGCTAAATATGTATTAAGGGCCTACTACATCCCAGACACTTTAGTAAAGATGGGTAATACTTAGTGTACAACAAAACAAACACAACACACGCCGCCAGGTGTGCTGGCACACGTCTGCAATCCCAGCATTCTGGGAGGCTGAGGCAGGAGGATAACAAGTTTCAGCCCAGCCCAGGCAAGAACCTGTCAAAAAATAAAAAGGCTGAGGAGGTAGCTCAATGTGAGGGCCTTGAGTTCGATCCCCAGTACTGGAGGGAGAAAAATACATTTGATTTCTGCTGTTATAGAGCTTTCAGTCTATGAGAAAAAAGATACTCAACAAATAAACGTACAAATAAATGCATAAATACTGGATAAAGAAAGGAAGGAAGGGAACGGACAGAAGGCAGAAGGGAGGAATGAAGCCACTGCTTTCGGGTGGCACAAGGAAGTACTGTAGTAGGAGTGGGACCTGGGCTGAGTGACAGGGCAAACAGGAAGTGAGCACAGAATTGGGGTAGCACAGAGCCTGCTTCAAATCTTCCACGCACTGTGGGGAGCAGAGAGCAGCCACCAAGGACTGTGGGGTCCCAAGGGGAGAGCTATAGGATGGGAGATGCTAGAGCACATTCGACTGCAAACAGGAGCAGTCCCAATGAGCAAGAGGACAGAGATCCCAGCTGACTGGCAGTAGCCGACTGGGCACCTCCTGCCTCAGCTCCACTCAGCTTCTGTTGCTGACAAACCACCTTCCCTGTCTCCTCCCTCTCCTGCTTGACTGAGGAATGCTTTCTTTACATTATAGCTTCCAGCTTTTAAATTTAAACTATGGACAGTCATCATCATCATCATTATTATTGTTTTATTATTTTGAGACAGAGTTTCATTATATTGCCCAGGCTAACTTGCAATCCTCCTGACTCAGCCTCCCAAGCAGCTGTTGTTGCAGGTGTGTGCCACTGCACCTGTGCACCAGAGTTAAAGATGACAACGTATCATTGTTTGTCCCACTGATTTTTTAATGTGGTAGAGGTCGACCCCAGGACCTCACATGTAAAAGCACGAGCTCACATTTTTTGGGGGGTACCGGGGATCGAACTCAGGACCTTGCACTTGTGAGGCAGGCATGGTGCCACTGAGCTAAATCCCCGGCCCTCTGAAGCACGAGCTTTATGGTGCACCCCCAGCCCTGCATTTTGATTTTGAGGATTGACACAATCATCCCCAGCCCTTTGTATTGTTTTGAGATAGGATCTTGGTAAGTTGCCTAGGCTTTGTTTGAATATGCAGTCCTCCTGCCTCAGCCTCCCAGAGTGCTGGTATTACAGGTGTGTGCCACCAGCTCAGTTTATGGTTTGATTCTTGAGGACTTCTTTGTATCTTTCTTAGTTACTGACTGATGAGACACTTTCCCTGTGTAGGTACCCAGGCAGTGTGATTAGTGCAACCTAATAAAATCTATCCTTGCCCCATAGTATCACTTAGGAAAAGCTAATGCCAGCTAAGTACAGGAGTTATCTTTAATAAGCACCTTAACTTCACAAGAGCCCTAGTGAACTGTGTTGTCATCTCATTTAGAAATGGAGAGCCAGGTGTGGTGGCACATGGCTGTAATCCCAGGCTGAGGCAGGAGGATCACCAGGAGTTCGAGGCCAGCCTGGACTACATACTGAGTCTGTATCAAAAAAAAAACAGAAAAAGAAATAGAGACACTGAGTCAGGAGACGTGATGGGATTTTCCAGGTTACAGATCCAATATGATAGCAGATGTGGGTAATCTAAAAAGCCAGAATTTCAAAACAGTTCCAGCTGGCTCTTTCCACACGGAGTTTCATGGCCTTCTGGTTGACCTGCCCACATCACACAGCCAGGAGCCCTACGGACAGCGGCAGGGAAACAGCTCCTGATGGAGCCTTTGCTCGGAGGGCATTTCGAGGACTGTGGGGTCCATCACCCTGTGCTCGTCGGCCCCCGTTCACAGGTGCAAGAGACTAAAGCAGCCCAGCTCATGTGGACAGTCAGGCTGCAGTCACAAGTTTATTCACAAGCCCCAGTTACCCAGGACCATGTTGATATGATTGTTCTTTTTTAGAAACGATTTTTTTTCCAGAAATTTCAACTCATCATAGCGAGTGCATTCACCAGAGTGGGAAGTAGAATAAAGGCCCCGCCACTCTATTTTCAGGGGAGGGTGTTTGCAGTCTGGATAAGAACATGGGTGTCACCTGTGAGGATGGGAGACTTGTCACAAGGCACCGCCCTGCCACCGTGCTGCCTGGAACTCTGCCCTGTCCTGGACCCCTCGTCCCCGTACTGAGTGTCCCTGAGTGTCCCTAGCACACCCGGGAGATGAAACAGCATGAGTGGGTCACCCTCGTCTGGGCTGAGTCCATGGTGTCCTGGGGATGCTGGCCACTGGGGGTCCCTCGCTCCTGCACACCCTGGGCCACTGGCACCCGGAAAAGATGCCTTCCTTCCTCCAGAGGCTGTCCTGGACACAGAAGCAGGTGAATTGCTGGCCCACAATGCAGCCTCATAGATCTGTGCCGAGCGGATCCAAGGGACCAGGGTAGGTGCTGTTGCCTCCACTCACAGTGAGGAGAACAGAGCCCGGCTGTGATGCTGCTCTGAAGAAGACCGTGCGGCTCGCGCTTAGTCGGGGATGGGCAGGAAGCGGACGGCGGTAGGCAATACCGGCGCTTGGGTTGGGGCTCTCAGAACTGGAGCCCTTCCTCCTGACCCCGGCCTCCCAGAGCTCCTGGTCTGAAGCTGAAATACAGCGAGTGGGTCAGAGACCCCCAGGAAGGGCTGAGGGAGGCGCGGGCGGAGGAGGCCCTGATCCGGAGAGCCAGCCAGTGCCCGGTACTTCTGAGAGTCCACAGCCCCAGCCCTAAAAGGAGGTCTGCTGGTTTACTTAGGAGAGGCTCCACGGCTGGCACCAGTCACTTCTGACACATTAGATAAAGTCTGTCATTGTGGCATCTGAGTTCAAGGTTTTACTTCACCTTGAGCAGGAAAACGCATTTTGCAGCTAGATCCATTCACTTCCCATGGTCTTCATTTCTCAGAACCAGTTTATCCAGGCCAAGGCAGACCTTCGTCCAGCCTGAAGAAAACAGCCATTAATGATAGTTAACATATTAATTGCAGAGTGCTTCTCTCTAAGTTTCTGTTGGCAACAAGTTGCAGCCCAGCAGAGCCAGTGAAGTGCATCCAGCTTCCATTTACAACCTCTGGGCGGGCTTTTCATCTTCATGCTTCAGGATTTTCATTATTATGGTTGCCAACAGTCCAGGCCTGTAATTTACAAGTCAGACCCACATGTCACTTCGAGAGAAACTCAATCCTAAAAATAGTCGTGAAACTCAGGAAAACACCAACCCAGATAAATAAATCTCATGTCAAATGTAGAAAGCTTGTAAACCCTAGGCTCAGGGTTACACTAACTACTTAAATTTCAACTGATTTTAGCAAGTACATCCACCAGCCCAGGGGAGGTGGCGAAGATGCTCCCCCTCAGTGTTTTGCTTTCTTCTGTCTGTGACTGTTCATTCATTTCTTAGGTAAAATACTGCTCTTTCTACAACAGCCAGGGTGAAACTTCCATTTGGACGACATTCTCCCAAAATGTTGCACCATTAAAGGCCAAGGTAGCCTTTCAAGGTGGCCCACACCTGCATCCCACACTCAGAGGATGAGGCAGGGGGAGTGAAAGTTTGAGCCCAGCCTAGGCAGTTTAGCAAGAGGTTTCTAGATGTCCCCCAAAGTGTTGTCCGCTCACATAGGGCTTTTGGAAGGTGAGTGGGTAACGGGGCACCACTGCTGGCTTGCCCCAGTTAGGTCTGGTTGGAAGTGGGGGGTCACTGGGGGCAGGGGGCAGGGCTTATCTCCCTGCAGGGCCCCCTCTGCTTCCTGTCTGCCCTGCGGTGAGCAGCTCTCAAACTCCTCCACCACCTCTCTGTGCCCAGGCTCTACCACCACATCTCTGACCATGCCAGGACTGAAACTTCTAAAACACAAACCACAGGAAGCCTTTCCTTTAAGTTGCCCATGCTTGGTATTTTGTCCTAGCGAGGAGAAAAGTGCCTAAGACACCCTGTCTCAAAATAGGAAATAGAAAGGGCTGGAGATATGTCTGGGTGGAAGGACCCCACCTGCCTCCTGTGCGTAAGGCCCTGGGTGCCACCCTGTACAGGGGGAAGGGAAGAGCTGTGCATGTGTGCACAGGCACGGGCCCCTGGGGGGTGGTCAGGGTCCAGAGCCTCACGGGAGGAAGGGTCTCCGGAGAGCATGAGAAGGCCAACCATGGGCCGGTGGGCCAGAAGCAGGTTGTGTCCTTCAAAGTGTCTCCTCCGGGAGGCTCTACTCCCTGTTCCCTGGGGTATATCTGGCTTATGGGGCTGTGTCAGCCCAGGTTTCCCAGCAGTCATGGATTTTAGATAAGTGAAGTTCTGAGGGGGCTTTTATTCCCCCAGCTGGTGAATCTCAGGTTTGAATCATCTTTGAACCAACTCTGGGTCCCCAAAGTCCAAGGATGTAGAAGGAAAAGCAGCTCCAGCTCAGACTCAGTTTCTCCTCCACTGATGATAGATTCCTCTGACACCGTGTGGTGAGCTTTCCCTGAATGTGAGCAAGTGGCAGCTCCATAGCCCACTTCAGTGGGGCGCTCTCTGGTTTGTTCTGTTTGTTTGTTTTTTGGTACCAGGGATCGGACTTGGGTCCTTGCGCTTGTGAGGCAGGTGGCAGAACCACTGAGCTAAATCCCCAGCGCTCTGGTTTGTTTTTTTATTCCTGTGGTGCCAGGATCCCTCAAGACGGGTGCTCCACCACAGTGCCACAGTGAGTAGGGCATCAGGGCCACTGTGAGGGTGCCATTGCAAAACTGCCCCTCTGATGGCAGCTGCAGGCCCTGGGTCATCTCACCTACGCTTCTACCCAGGCTAGAAGTAGGGTTCCATTAATTTGCTCAACAGCTCACAGTACCCAGGGAAGCAACATTTAAGGGTTTATTTATTCTCCCCTGGCACTGAGGATTGAACCCAGCGCCTTCACATTTAGCTTTCCCAGCCTTAGTCTAGTAAGTTGCCAAATTGCCTAACCCGGGCTCTACCTTGCAATCGTCTTGCCTCAGCCTCCCACAGTGCTGGGGTTAAAGTCATGCATCGCCATGTCTGGCTTTACCAGTTTACTATGAAGGACAGTAGGAAGGAGACAGGCGAAGAGATGCCCAGGCGAGGCCTGTGGGAAAGGTACCCTCCGAGCACCTGTGCCTGCTGTCTCTAGCGCTATCTGCTGGGTCTGAGATGCCAAGTGATGTGCACAGACGAAGCAGGGACCTAGCAAGGCCATCATCTGGCTTCCTCCGCGGCCCTTCCTCCTGCATGCCGACAGACCCCTCTCTGAACTGGGTGCTCATCATCTGAACAGGGAAAGGGTGGGCCAGAGAAGTTCTGTGGGCTGGGGGAGATCAGTTTCTGTGCCTGCCTTGGGGAGAGAAAAGGGCAGGCAAAGGGGGGTTAGGTCAGACTGCTTTCTAAGCCCCAAACACCTGACATCGGTCTACTCAGGGCAATGGGAGCAATAAGCCAGGGACCAGGGATGAAAACCAAAAGCTATCTGTACCACAAAGTAAAGAACAAAAACAGGCTTCCGAGAGGCGTAATTACACCTCCAGATGGCTTGGTCATCTCCTGCCTAAGTTCTGGGCTTCCAGCCTTCTGGCTTGGCCTGTGAATTTCAATTTGTCTGCCCCTACTACTACCAGAGCCACTGCTTTAAAACAGATCTTTTACTAGGCCAGGCACAAGGACACAGGCCTGTAATCCCAGTGACTCTGGAGGCTGAGGCAGGAGGATCACAAGTAAAAGCCCAGCCTGGACAACTTAACAAGACCCTATCTCAAAATAAAATAAAATAGATCAAAAGGGCCAGGGTGCAGCTCAGCTCAGCATCTGCCTTGCATGCACAAGACCCTGGGCTCAATCCCCAGTACCACACTAAATAAACACATGAAATAAAACCGTTTACTATATTTATTGTACAAGAATAATCTCCTATTGGTTGTGTTCTCTGGAAAAATGCACATTGCCATTACCCCAGCATAGGATTTTATAATCTGCCATCTGTACTACTGGAGCTGGTCTTTGTGTCGGAAATAGTTTCCTGTCTAAATCTGACAGACCAGCTCCAAGGTGCTCTCCTTCCAGTTGTTCCCAGAGCTCAGGACAGAACGCTAGAGGTAGACGATCTGGCCCTTGGTGATTTGCCACCTGCCCCTCATATGGCTTTGCTTTCCTCTCCATCTGCTCCTGCGGTCTCCTCCTGGTTCTGCGGGATACTGTGAGCACTGGCGTCTTCTGCCTCTCTAGATTTCTCTTTTTCTGTTTTTGTTATTGATTTGGTGTGGCTGGGGCCTGGACCCGTGGCCTGCCTGGTGCTGGCTGAATCCACCACAGCCCCATCTGGATCTCTTGCCTCCTGTTTCCCACCTTATTATTCTGGGTGGTACACGGCCTACCTTTCCTCAACGTCCAAGTTTTCTTTTTACTGCCTGCGTTAGTTTCCTATTGCTCCTATACAAATTACCAAAAGTGTTAGTGGCTTAAAACAACACACATTTCTTCTCACATTTCTGAAGGTCAGAGGTCCAAAGTGAGTTTCACTGGACAAACATCAAGGTGTCAGTAGGTTGGGGCACTGCGACTCAAGCCTGGGTTCCTGGTACTCTGGAGGTGAAGGTGGACAATCTGATCCTGGGAGTTCAAGACCAACCTGGACAACACAGCCAGAGCCTGTCTGTAAAAATGTAAATAAAATCAATTTAAAAAGAAAATAAAGAGCTGAGTGTGGTGGTGCCTGCTTATACTCCCAGTACTCAAGGAGGTTGAGACAAGAGGATCACAAGTTCAAGCTTGGCCTGGGCAACTTGAGCAAGCTCTTGTCTCAAAAACTATAAGGGGCTGGAGGCGTAGCTCAGTGTGAAGGCTTGGGGGAACATTCAGCTATAAACCATAACATTCCAGCCCTGGCCCAAAAAGATTCATGTACACCTCTTTATGCAAAACACATTTAGTCCAACTCTAAGAGTTGCCAAAGTCCTAACAATTACACCATTGCTGAAAAGCCCAAGTCTAAAGTCTCCTCTGAGAGACTGGGGGAGGCTCTGGGCTGCATGAGGGGCTGATGAGGGCCGCAGGTTGTTCAAAGTCTGTGCCCTGTAGGAGGAAAAGCTTTCAGGCTGCTGAAAGCCCAGCAGGAAGAGAGGCTGGAAGAGATCAACTACCAATTCCTGGATGATCCCAAATACAGAGCTGACGAGGACCTGCCCTCCCAAATGGAAGCCTTCAAGAGGAAATACGTGGAGTTGGACCTGAACGGAAATGAAGACACTGGTGAGGAAAGGTGGGGTGTGCATGGGCCTAGGCAGATTCCTGGCTCTCCAGCCTGCCCCAGAGGAGCAGGAGGGGCACAGGAGCATGGAGGTGAGGGAGAAAAGAGGCTGCCCCTCTTCTTCCCTCTGGATAGCATGTCCCTGAAGAGAATGATGAAGAAACTCGGGGTCCCCAAGACCCACCTAGAGCTAAAGAAATTAATTGGAGAGGTCTCCAGGGGCTCTGGGGAGACCTTCAGCTACCCTGCCTTTCTCAGAATAATGCTGGGCAGGAGATCTGCCATTCTAAAGATGATCCTGATGTATGAGGAGAAGGCAAGAGAACAGGAGATGCCAACCAACCCCCCACCCGAGGGAGAGAGAGAGAGAATGAGAATCTGTGCCTGGTGGGATTAAAGGGCTTCTAATGACCCCAACATGGAAAAAGAAGACAAAATTGTGAGCCAGAGTCAAACTAAATTAAACAACTTAGGGCCGGGGATTTAGCTCAGTGGTTCCGCCGCCTGCCTTGCAAGAGGAAGGATCCGAGTTTGATCCCTGGTACCAAAAAACAAAACAAAACAAAACAAAAGAAACAAATTATCTTCCCCTTTCAAAAAATAAATAATAAATAAAGTCTCCTTTGAGACCTAAGGCAAACTCTTAGCTGTGAGCCCATGTACAAATCAAAAAGCAAGTGGGCTGGGGATGTAGCTCAGTGGTACCACACCTGCCTGGCAAGCAAAAGGTCCTGAGTTCAATTCCCGGTACTGAAAAAAAAAAATCAAAAAGAAAGTTAAATGCTGCTGACATACAATGGCGCAGGATAAACATTCCCATTTCAAAATGGAAAAGCAGAGTGATAGAAACCAGGGGGACAAAGTAGAACGGAAACCCAGCAAGGCAAACATTCAAACCTGTAGCTCCATGTCCAGAAACCAAGGCAAGCTGTGGCGAGATGGGAACTCCAAAGGGCTTGGGCAGCCCCACCCCTACAGCACTGCTGATGGTTGTAGCCCTCATGGCTTCTCTCTTGGACCTGCTTTACACACTGCTTGAGGCATTCCTCAGACATTCCACATTCCTAGCTTCTGCAGTTTCCTGGGGTCTTACACAGCTTCAAGCACTGCCCTCTCAGGGCCACACTGCCTGGGCTCCTAGGCCTCTTTCTGAAATCTGAGTGTAAGCCTCTATGACCCCACAACTCTTGCATTTTCTATGCCTGTAAAACTAGCACCATGTGGATGACACTATGGTCTGCACTAGCTCCAGCAGTAGCCAGGCCCTTTTCAATCATGGCTATAGGGGCCCCTGAGTGCCTGGATGGCTAAGTACTGTAAATGGAATCCTAGGAAGCCAATTTCCCAGGAGATTTCCTGGAGCAGGGTACCCTGGGCCATTCTTCTCAAAGCAAAGTCTTTCACTTTTCCACCCTTGAAGGCTCAAGGGTGGGGTCTTTCAAATTCCTCTCATCCCCTCAAGACATCCTTTGTATTGTCCTGATGTAGGCTTCCTTTTAATATTAACCTTTTCAGCAACCAAACTCTCCTCTGCTCCAATTAAGAGGCCTAAAATTTACAGGAGTTTCCTTTCTGGTTAAACTCAAAACTTTAAAAATTACCCAGCTGTGCCCTTTGCTCTTGATTTTCAGTGTAAAACTGGCTAAAAGCCCCCCAGCTGTACCTATGCTACAGCCTAAACATTAGGCTACCTTTGAAATTTTGTCTATCAGATTAATTAACCTGCTGCCCTTAATTTTGGTCTCCCACAAAGTTTCAGGACATGAACAAAATGAAAACAAATTTCCTGCCAGAGCATAATACACATGGTCTTGAGTCCAACTGCCAGTGGATTCCACATTCCCAACTGAAACCTTCTGAGCCTGGTCTTTATCCTCTACCTTTTTTATCAGCATTTTGGTCTTCTTACCTGCACCCAGAATCTCCCATCAAGCTTGGCTCACAACATTCTAGGGCTGTTTCTTCAACCATCATCTCCAAACCTTTCCAAACTCCTCCCTCAAACCAGTTCTACAGGCTTCTGAAACACATGGTCAGAATAGTGTCATAATAACAACCCCACTCCTCTGGTACCAAAATGTGTCTTAGTTACTTTCTCCTTCCTGAGACACAATACCTAACATCCACAACTTAAAGGAGGAAAGATGTATTTTGGCTCATGATTTGTAGAAATTTCAATTCCTCATTAGCTGGCTACAAGGCAGAATGGCATAGTGGAAGGACCTGAGTGGAGGAAAGCTGCTCACCTCATGGCATCCATGAAGCAGAGAGCAAATGGAAGAACCAGGTCACACATCCACTAATCTGCCCCTTCTGGCCAGGCCCCACCTCCTAACATCACATTGAGCTATCATACCCCCATAGACCAATCACCTTTCATAACCTGCAATTTGAGTACATGAGGCTTTGGGAAGACATTCAGATATAAACCATAACAATGATCATTATTGTGGACATTATGGTTGATTTTTTTTTTTTTTTTTTTTTTTTTTTTTTGTGCTGGGGATTGAACTAGGGTCCTTGCACTTGCAAGGCAGGCGGTGGAACCACTGAGCTAAATCCCTGGCCCTTACTGTGGACATTATGAAAAACAACTCAAGCATGTCCCTTATTAATTGTGGGTCAGCTCTATCATCCCTATTTAATAAAAACAATCTAATTAAATTCAAACCTAGGCAGCCAGGTGGTAGGCTGGGGCAGAAGGATCTGAAGTTCAAGCCCATCCTGGGCAACTTAGTGACTTAGTGAGACCCCTGTCTCAGAATAAAAAGTGAAGGGCCAAGAATTTAGCTCAGTGGTGCCGCCACCTGCCTCGCAAGTGCAAAGTCCTGAGTTTGATCCCCGGTGCCAAAAAAAAAAAGAGCTGGGAGTCCAGCTGAGTGTGAAGGGCCTAGGTTCAGTCCCAGTCATACACACACACTCACACATACAAAACTAAAAAGAAAAAACCTAGTCAACAATCTTCAATGCAGGTGTTTTATTTTTTGGTACCGGGTATCATCGAACTTGGATCCTTGCGCTTGTGCAGCAGGCGGTGAAACCACTGAGCTAAATCCCTAGCCCCAGTGCAGTTTTAATTATACTCAATTCCCAAGGTTGCAACATTGAATATCCACTGCTAATGTTTAGGAGTCCATTTTATCAAATCTAAAGTGAGTCTTCAAATTTTCTCAGAGCCCTTCTTGAGGGTGGGACCGATACAAATTTAAAGTATCATCCTGGCCAAATGTTTCAGCAGAGAAGCAGGGTGTGTTGTGTCTTCCCTTGTTCCATTTGCTGCCCTGGTGCCTAAAGTGCAGGCCAGGGGTGTGGAGAATGAGGCAGGAAGAAGGAGCTGGACACAAAGTGGTCCTGGTGTTGAGGGACTTCCTGTACTGCTTTATTTTTATTAAACTCAGGGCCACACAAATGTGAGGCAACTGCTGTGCCACCTACCTACATCTGCAACTCTTTAGTTAATTCATTAACATCTTGCTATGTTGCCCAGGCTGACCTCGATCATCCTGCCTCAGCCTTGCAAGTAGCTAGGATTAGAGATGTACACTTCTTAGCCGATCTCTGAAATGCTCTTTATTCTCTCCAAGCACAGAACACCGTGACCAGAATGACTTCATATCCAGGGAGAAGAATGACAGAAACTGCGCCTCATGTCCCGTCACAGTGTGGGGCCACATCTGTTTCCATGAGTCCCAGTGGTCCACTGTTCGCATGTGTCCCACTGCCACGGGTCAGGGCTGCCTGGGGCTGAGGTCCTCCCTGGCCCTCTCTTAGGTGTGACACTCTTGTCACTTTCCAAACCCAGCTTCTCAGGGTGGCTTGCCCAGCCTGGTGAGCTCCAGACAGTGGACCTCCTTTGAACTATACCCCACTGTGGTCCTCTGGCAGGGGAGCCTGCAGCTCCTGCTATCTGGGGGCTGCTGGGGCAGAAGGGACAGAGAAAGCTGAGTGACATTTTCCCCACCTGTCTGAGCAAGGGTGGCCTGTGACAGCAGGACGGGCTCACTAGAGGGCTAACAAAGTAATCTGGTTCACAAATGTTTAAGCAACACACACATACACACACACACACACACACACACACAGACACAGGGGCTGGGGATTTAGCTCAGTGGTGCAGTGCTTGCCTTGCAAGTGCAAAGTCCTGAGTTCAATCCCTGGTACCAGAAAAAAAAAGAAGAAGAAACACACACACACAATAAAATAGGAATCTTTCTCACCTTCCTAATAACACCTCTAAAGAGAGAAGCCAGTGGTCTTGCAACTCCTTCTTTCTGTGCAAAAGAGCTTGGTAACTTGCACCTGGGAGTCAAGGAAAAGCAGCCTAGATCCTCACTGCCACAAAATAAATACATAAAGTAAAAAAAAACAAAAAGCGTTAAAAAATAAGAGTAAGCAAGCCCAGAAGATGTCGCAGGAGAAGGCTGATGGTAGCTGCTTAGAGTCCAGGCCAAAAGCACAAGAGGAGGGCTGGGGATTTAGCTCAGTGGTTCCCGCCTGCCTCTCAAGCTCAAGGTCCTGAGTTCGATTCCCAGTACCAAAAAAAAAAACAAACCCAAACAAAAGCACAAGAGGAGGAGCCTTTGGCAGCCAGAGCTCAGGGTGGCTCATCAGACAGTGGAGAGAGATGAACAGGGCCCCCACGGGGTAGGCACGGAGGGAGTCTTTAGGGCAGCACCAGTGAGATTCCTTAAATTTATATCATTAATATAAGATGTTAATTGAGGTCAGATGTATTGGTGCACACCTGTAATAGCAGCAATATAGCAGGCTGAGGCAGGACGATTGCAAGTTTGATCCTAACCTGGGCAACTTAGTGACCTTGTCTCGAAATTGGGCTGCCCATGTAGCTCAGTTCAAAGGTCTTGGGTTCAATCCCCAGTACTGCCACCAACAAAATAAAATAAAAGTTGTGAAAAGTGACCTATCAGCTAATTTCATGCACACACAAACACAGATTTTGGTTGTTATTGTAAAAGAAACCGACCTCTCACCCAAAATGGCTCCTCGAGGGCAATTCCTCAGGAAAGAAACCTTGTACATTTTGTTGCATATGTTGCCAGTCCTGCTCGGTCACATTCCTGCCACAGTCCCCTTACATCCCCTTCCCCATCCCAGGTCAGTTCATTCTTTTTCAAAGCACTGTCAGCAGGATCTCCTGGTTTTGTTACCTTCCACCTTTGGGGGCTTTGGGGGGCCAGGCAAACTCTTCATCCTGCCAATTTCCAGCCGGTATGATCTGGGTAAAATAAACGGCGGCCCTGTGAGAGGCAGCCTGGTGTCCATGGTGCTCCAGGCAGCCTGTTCTGCTCTCCTCTTTAACCTCTGGGTATCAAGTATTTTGTCCCAGTGACAAGAAAGTGACTAAGACACCCTGTGTTTAAAGAGAGGAAAAATAAA